TGTGTGTGTGTGTGTGTGTGTGTGTGTGTGTGTGTGTGTGTGTGTGTGTGTGTGTGTGTGTATGGGTGTGTGCTCTGTACTCCAACATCACTGTTCGCACGTGCAATTTGGAACCACACTTGTCAGCAGTCTCCCCCTACATGGTTTCAGACTCGCATCTCGCTGATTTCAGTCGCAGCAGTCAACAATGGCACCGGTCCACGTCATTCTCATCATCTTCCTTGGCTTGTCGCCATATGCACCTCCTCCATAGCCATCATCATCAATCAATCAAAATAAGTGAATGATAGGGAACACTTTTTCCCGCTCTATTGATTGCCACCATGAACAGCAATCTTCAACAGATTACAAGGAAAGTAATTTCTGGGTGAATTTGGGGCCATGCATCATCATCATAATCATCATCGTCAATCATAGTCAACAATGCACGCACATACTTTTTGCCATTAATCGCACCCAATCACCATCGTTCTCACCCATCATGAACAAACTAATTAAAGCTGCCGTGAACAGTATTCTCACCTGCGGTAAGTCCCAATAAAGAACCTTAGTCCCAAATCCGGCAGCACGCCTCGCAAGAGCACAAGCAGCTCCATCAACTCCAATCAGACCAAGCATTAAACCCCTACACCTCCTGGATCCCTGTAATTCACCAACCCCGTCTCCAAACCAGCCCAATCGGGGACACCCACGCGAGGCCAGCACATGCGTTCTTCTGAGCAGACCCAGTATCAATGCCATAACAGTGTCTGCAACCTCGCCGAACCTACATTTGTCCACATGTACCAGGTGCAAATTGTGTTCATCCGCTATGGCTGAGTCTGCGGGTTTGACAGCCGAACCAATACAAATGATGAGCTGAGACCGAGACATGCGCTGCAGATAAGAGCGAGGTAAGAAAGCCAACGACTGGACGATCACAACTGTCGCCAGCTCCACTCGAGATCGACCCGCCAGATCAAGCAACCCCACATGCTCCACCGTAGCGATGCCAGCCAGAGCTTCTGCCTCCAGCCTGAAGACGGCGAGTTTTATAATCCACCAAAACACACAGCAGCTTTTAGAAACAAATTCATAAGAGAGTAGCAAGAGGCTAAACGAGTTCACGGGAAAGACTGAAGTTCATTAAACCCAACTCAAACCTCAGGAAAGGCCCAAAAAAACGACTGCAAAGATGACAGAGGGATCTGAACATGTAATTCGAAACGCCAAGTTTTATGACCCACCATAATACAAAGGAATTCTGAGAGATCGATAGAGGTTATAGTCTAAACCAGCGTGCCAATGCCAAAAAAAAGCTGCAAACATGACAGAGAGATTCAAATATAATTCACACACACACACGCACACACAAACACAGAGAAAAGCCACTCCTTCCAGCGCTTCATGGCAGTCGGCTTAGTCTCGGAAAGTCCTAGTGGGAGTTCGCCCTCAGAGACAATACGGTCGCACATCATATGCCCAGCATTCAAAGCAGCTGATCGGAAATTTCCGTAGTGAAATCAGAGGCCCAACCTTGAATCCCCAAATTGTCCTCCAATTATTCCTCCACAGACTGCTCTTGTAATGCCCGGGATTACATACATCCTCACGATTCCTCATATAAAGACCTCTCATCCTCCTCATTCACATCATTTGGATTTTCACTTAACAAGGAAGGAGATTAAACAAACAGATGCACATGCAGAAGTAACCTTAGCTTGGGTCTTTTTTTTGACCGCTCATCTTCCAGCTGAGGGAGTGTTACATGCCCAGTTGGGCGATGTGCTTATAAAACCAAGGATCCGCAATGTGATGAAAAGAACTGAATGGACAATGCAGTGCAAGTGAAATCTCAAAAGGCAGTGTACATCCTGATACATACAAAAATGGTGCTTTCTAGCGCAGTGGAAGACTTAGATACAAGTCCTGACCTGACCGGGACTGACCTCTTTCACGTAGTGCAAGATAGCGCAGCAGAATGCAGAATGCTAGAATACTAATGACGAGCCCAATCAATGTCGCAACGCAGACTAAACATACATCATTCTCATCACAAGGTGTGAAGGGCCCTGGCACTACACACAGGAAGAAGGCGCCAGGTCCAGACATGCACAGACGAGGAGGAGGGGATCAGACGAAGAAGAGGACGGGGGGAGATGGGAAAGTCGTCAACACCAAGTCTCGTTAAGTCCTAAATAATCCCTCGTCAAAATGTCTGAAGCCCATGTCGAGTCTGGATCCAAATGTCACCAAGCTCTCTCTCTCTCTCTCTCTCTCTCTCTCTCTCTCTCTCTCTCTCTCTCGTAGTCTGCTGATGCAGTGAAGTCAGGTAGCGAGAGGGTGAGAGGGAGATGGTGGACTGAGAGGAGGAAGAAGAAGAACTCTCTCTCTCTCTCTCTCTCTCTCTCTTTCACGTGCCAGGTACTAACCTGTGAAGATGGCGCTGTGCTGCAGGTACCTCGAAGACGAAGCTGGAGCTACGGCACTGCAGGTAAGTCTCCCTGGCCTCTACCCAATCTCTCTCCCTCTCTAGTACTGCTCTAGCTCCTATGGCGCCCAGCGCTGAAGACTAATGCTAACGCTACTAGCGCCCAGCGCTGAGACTACTGCTAGCGCTACAACTACTCCTGCAGCGCTCCTCCAGAGGGCTGCTGCCGAATCCTGAAGACTACCTCCAGCCTCCTGAACTGCACGTGAAGTGCCTTGGAAGTACCTAGGAACTACCTGCCGGCCTGCAGGGAGGGCCAGTCCTATATAGTGCTGGCCCGTCCAGGAGGCTGTTCTTGCCAATGCCGAAACGTGCCAGACCCTGGCGTAGAAGCTCAACCAGGGGTTGTCTTGAAAACAGGCCCGAAATGGCCTCTGCTAAAACCCTGGTTTGTTGCCTGAGTTTTGGGGCGGGTCGAACTGACGAGGGCCTGAAAATGGCGCTCAGTTTCAGGCTGAAAACACTCAGGGCAGGAAAGTCCCTGATTTAGCCTGAAACGACACAGGGCCTGTATGCCCTTGTTTTCAAGCTTTCAGGCTGAAACGACACGGGGCCTGTAGGCCCTTGTTTTCAGGCTTCTGGCCTGAAAACATCACGGGCCTGAAAGGGGCCCCGTGCAGCCTGTTGCAGGTGCAGCATGTAACAGGGAGGGAGAGATGGACGGAGGGAGGGAGGGAGGGACAACACAGGAGGAGGAGGAGGGGGCCATGTTCAACAACACACATTGTGATCGAGGGAGAGTGGCATGGAGTCGTCTTACCAAACATGACAACCGGATGGGAGGTTCGCAAATGCAACAAAAAAAAAAGAGGGAAGGACAAGAAGGAGAGAGATGAACCTATTTCTTGAAGTCTTCACACACAATCAGCACTGTAATAGACAGTCAACGTGACAGAATTTACATGAATGCAAAAGAAACAGCGGACACAAACACCTCCATAAGAGAAAATGTTGCATGCTCATGAAACACAGTCATAAGTATGGCGCAGATTCCCAGAACCGACCAGATAATACAGAGTAAGTACAAATACAGTGGAAGACTTGAGATACATGGATTGACTCAGACCTGACTCAGACTGCAAAGAAACAGTCACAGACATATATCGGTGGTGTGAAGCCCTGGCCTTGGAAATAGAAGAAAAGGCCAGGATCAATTCTCAATTTCTCATACACGAATGGAATGGAGGGGAGGAGAGACGAAGGGAGGAGGAGAGGGAAGATGACGTCAACTCAATGTTTCCAAAGATAGTATCTCGAAATGTCAAAAGTAGCGAAAATCTGAAATGTCGTGAACACAGAGTCTCAGTGTCTCAAATATCGATCTCACAATGTCAAGGTACATCTCCAGAGGTAGAGGAAATCAGATCCCAAAACCTGCAGTCTCAATGTCGCTGTCTCTAGTGTCATCAGAACTCGTAACCATCCTTCACAGTCGTAGTAGTCCAGTAGGGGTAACCCGAGAATAGACTTGGACTAGGGGAAGAGCGAGAGAGAGTGTTGCATACTCGTGAAACACAGTCATAAGTATGGCGCAGATTCCCAGAACCGACCAGATAATACAGAGTTAATACAAATACAGCGGAATAGTTGATACCCATGGACTGACTCTGACCTGACTCAGACTGCAATCGAACACTCTCAATCATGCATCAGTGGTGTGAAAGCCCTGGCCTTGGACAT